TGGTTTAAAGAAACTACGACTAGGAACACATGAAAATTGCAGATTTAACTTTGGTACCAGAAGTGAAGTTTTGAAAAAAAATGGAAGGTAAATTAACAGAAGCGAAAAAGACTCTTTCTGATGGCCAAGCCAGACAAGGAAGCTTTGAACAAGAAAGAAAAAACTTGCTTGAAGAGCTGGCTAGGTCTGAGGCGAAGTAGGAGTACGTAGCTGCCATTTTGCATGACAAAAAAATTACTACTGCAGAACTTGAGGCTGCCAAGTCTCAGCTGCATCAGAAGCTGCAGGCATCGGTGGAAGACAAGTTTGCTTTGGAATCTAAGTTGGTCCTTACAAAACAAGATGTTGTTGATGCAAGAGAATGATGCAAGGGACCTCTCTTGTCTATATTCCTAACCAGGTAGCAAGCAGAGAAGGAAAAAATAACAGTTAGGAATAATTTTGGATGCCGATGACAACATTAGTTTGGATATATATATATATATGAAAAAAAGGAATTATCAAGAAATTTACAACTCTTACCAAGAGTTGTAAATAATAGGTGCTACTCCTCTGAAGATTACCATGCAAATTAAAAAAAATTGAGAGAGAGAGAGAGAGATATATATATATATATATATGATGTTTTAATATATATATATATAGATAGAAGATAAATATATATAGACATAAGATAAAAAAGAAAACACACATTCTCCTCCTCTGTTCAGTAGCAACAACAAGGGCAAAAATTGAAGCCATATATATATAGGTGTCTATATATATGTTAAAAACTCAAATCAAATCAACAAATGAGACCCAAAACATACCAGCAATCTAATAGCAAACACAGAAAAGAGGAAAGCATACCAGCAATCTAATAGCAAAGAGAAAAACATTAGATATAAAAAAGAAAAACATCCCAGCAAATCGCAAAGGGAAGAGAAGCAGATCGAGTGATGAAGGAAGCAGATTGAGAAGAAGAGAAACAGATGGAGAAGAAGAGAAGAAAAGAAGTAGGTTAGGTTGCAGAGAAGAAAATGAAGTCTAAAATAAGGATTTTTTAAGAGTAAAATGAGAATTAGCAAATTAACGAATTAGTAGTTTTAAAAATTTATCTAAATTTTAACTTTTTGATACCATTAAATGCCCTAAACTAATTATACCATCAGCAAACAAATATAATTTTGTCATCTCATCATCATAACCTAGGTTAATGAACTACAAACTAACATGATTCAAATAGAGGATTAGAAGAGAGAGAAAACATTTATTCTAATTTTTTATAAACAACAATGAAGAAACATTAGAATAAATGTTTGGCAATAGTTATATTGCTTTTGAACTGCTTGTTAGAATTTTTGTATATTAAAGAAGGTATTTCAAAAGAACTTAAAGAATTTTTATTAAGAAGTAGTTTGACATCATCATATTCCATATTGAAAGGTTGTTATGTGCTCAAATGGGATTATGATCTTTTTGGTGAGAAATGTTTTCTTTCAAGGTCAATATTAATGGAGGAAGAAATAAAGAACCAAAATTCGGTAGACTCATCTAAATCTCAATTTAATTTGTTTTATTTATTTATTTTTTATTTTAATTCCTCAACAAGAAGCAGTCTATATTAATTAAATTTTCTTTTGATGAATACATGTGCAATGTAACTATTTCCCTCTTAAAAAAAATGAACTTTTTATTAAAAAATAAAAAAATGAAGAAATAAAAACTAATAGCATGGACCCAACAAAAACCAAATACATGCAAGAGAATTTTACTGGCAATAAATGTTTACATTATCTTATTACTATAAGAGATAGACATGCCAGGTAAGAGCTTAAGATATGAGTACCAAACTAAATCAACCCTATTAAAAGTCAACAATAAATGATTGCACAATTTTGGGATGTTAGTTTGAAATTTAATGCTCGTTGAATTAAATGTGAGCCCTATAAGTATCCCCACCCCACCAACCACCAATTTCCCAACCAAAGTAGAAGATGGCGACTCCAAAGCTTGTCGTGTTTTCTGCTCTTCTAGTTACGATTATGTTGTTTTCTCATTCCATTGCACAAGTTTATGGGACTCCTTCATCTTCTTTTCCCATTCTTGATGTTTTTAGTTCATTATAATTGTTAAGGGATATAAATCCCACATTTACCAGGCATCATCTATTATGAGAAACATAAAGATGGGCCAAAAACCCTAAAAATGGCCGTCTACCCTAAGGAAAATACAAAATAGGTCAAAAACCGGAAAGGGGTGGTCCACCCCAGACAACAATGAAAAACGAAGTTTGGAGGAAATTGTGTAGTTGTTGCCAAGACCTTAACAGATAATGCAAGGGGGACATCAAAATCATGGTCCGAACCAATGAGGGATGTTCTCTAGCAGGAATATACATCCCTCAAAGACCATATATTTCTCAAAATATCTCCAGAATCTTCATCAGTTAGCATAGGCATATAATCAACCATTCCACTCTTTTGCATAAGTTTCGAAGACTAGTCTAAATCTTTTATGGCACAATCAGATCAAATCATCATTGACAATAAAAGCATGCTGATTTGCATATTTCATACCAAGGTAAGATGTCACACATCCATTCAATGGCGTGTAGACTCTCCAAGGCTTTATCTTCTACAGTTTGAGATGTGAGATCCGACTCCAAAAGCAGGGAAGTTAATTCAGTTTCAAATGAAGAGCAAAGTTTTGAGAGGCCCATCCTTACTACTGATTTCACTTCATCATCGGCTGTAACTAATGGAGTGTGCTCATCTGCCCCTAGCATTTACTCAACCTGTTATTGAGCAGAAGTTTCAAGATCATCTCCAAACGAAGGAGATGCTCCAGCAAAGGACATGGCAAACTGAACCACTGAAAGGAAAACATCTTTCGTTGCAGTTATATCTACAGGTTGAATTCTCGATAAAATTGGCATTGCTACCGGACCCAGTTCTTAGACTGCATTTATAATTTCTTCCTCATCATTGTCTTCTGAAGGAATTTAAACAGCAAATCTCTATGTATGCTTTAGAGTCAGGACTGGAGATCTGATCAGCAAAGAACTCGCTCTTGTTTATGAGAATAAATGAGTGGGAGTAGAACCATTCAGGTCTACCCCTGGTATTTCTCAAGGCTTGGCTGCTTCAGTTGAGTCCATACAGAGAAATGAAGGATAGAAAATTCACCCTTCAGCAACTAAAAGAATAAATATCCAAATTAGACTGTACCCTTAATGAGAGTCAAAATCACAATTAATATAATTTTGACATTGCTGATCAGATCTCCTGTCCTGACTCTAAATTACAACTATCATGTTAGTCTTTTCACATTGCTGTACCTCTCTTCAGAGTTGCTTCTGGAGTCCCTGGACCCTGTTGAATCTGCTGTTGGTATTCTTCAGATCGGCGGTTTGCATTGCACTGTAAAGAGATCAGGAATTGCTGCATCCAGCATTTGGAGGCCATTTCTTGAGAAGACAGGGATGAGGAAGAAATTATAAATGCAGTCTCAGAACTGGGTTCAGTAGCAATACCCATTTTGTCGAGAATTAAACCTGTAGATAGAACTGCAACGAGAAATGTTTTCATTTCAGCGGTTCAGTTTGCTATGTCCTTTGGCGGAGCATCTCCTCCACTCGTAGATGATCTTAAAACCTCTGCTCAAGAACAGGTTGAATACATGCTAGGGGCAGATGAGCATACCCAATAGTTACAGCCGATGATGAAGTGAAATCAGTAGTACGGATGGGCTTCCCAAAAGTTTGCTTTTCATTCGAAACTGACTTATCTTCCCTGCTTTTGGAGTCGGATCTCACATCTCAGACTACAGAAGGTAAATCCTTACAGAGTCTACATGACATCGAATGGATGTGTAACATCTTACCGAGGATGGATTTAACGAAGGACTTTGTTTGTAACTGGGCAGAGATCTCTGGTAAGGTTTTAGAGATAGTAGAGGATAAGAAACCAGGATCTGCAATGCTGGGTTTGAAAGTAAAGCTAATAGAAGTGACAGGCAAAGTGTTGGAAACAGTAGGGTACGGGAATGTAATCCTTCC